GGTTTGGCCTGGGTGGCCCACGGAGGGCCCTGCCAACCTCTGCCATGCTGGGATTCTGTGATTCTGTGAAATGTGCCTTAATGCCGCGGTGGCAGGAGTGGCCGGGGGAGAAACAGGTCCTTGAGTTTGCTGCTCTTTTGGTTCCTGTCATTATTGTCATGAAGGTATTGCAAAGGTGAATGTGGATCCTGCTTTTAGAGGCCGTTGGCTCCGCTGCTGCCCGCAGAAGTAGGAATTTTTTATCTTTCTCTCTTTGGCCGTGGTACTGCACTGCTGGAGGGGTTCTTGCACATTTTCACGAGCCTTTCCCCTCCCTCCCACCCTCCCTTTCGCCCAGCCTTGGGCTGGGCTTCTTTTGCCCCCCTGGGTGCCTTCTTCCCCCCCTGCCAGCCTTGTTTCAGACCCCTGTTGCTGCCTCAGTGCTGCAGCTCTGGGTTCTGGGCGGTTTGGGGCCATTTTCTTCAAATCTAGTCCTCAGCCGCTGAGCCACCGGCCAACCCCGCAGCCCCGCTCCCAGCACCAGGGGTTTCAGGGGTGTCTTTGAAGTTCTTCTGTACCTCCGTGGTCCTTTCCAGCTGAGCAGGGAGTGGTCTCGGGATGCTGCTGGTCAGTTATGGGCTACACATGGTGTTGGGACGTTTGGTGAGATGGGATGGATGGGAGTGAAATAAGCATAGTGGCAAGAGCCAGAACTTTGGGATTCTCTTCCTGGCCTTCTTACAGACCCCCACTGTGACTAATGGTTGTTTAATTGGGGTAACTTGTTACCCACCAGCCTTGAAACAAGCTGTATGTGCAAAATTATCTTGCCATCCCTGACAATCCCATTGTAAGAGCTCCTTGATCTCCCTAACACATTGATCCAAAGCAGAACAAGAGATGCCCCTACAGACTAGGTCTTCTTCCGAGATGTGTGTCAGATCAGGGATGCTGGTGATTTCCCCAAGTATCACCAAGAGAGCTTGAGCAAGGCCGGAGGAGGCCACGGATGGAGCAGAACGGGTGTCTCCAATCCAGACAACAGAAACCGGGCAGGTTTGCAGCAGAGCAGAGACTCCAGCTGCTCGGTCGGGGCTCCGCGAGGCGCTGAGGAAGGTGCAGGACCTGGCGGAGCTGCAGGAAGTAGCTGGGGTGGTGGTTTAAGAAAGCCGCTCTGCTGGAGCGTGGGTGTGGGGTGTGCATGGCACAGCACGCAGAGATGGGACAAGTGAGGGCCCCTCTCTGCTGTGTGGTGCAGCACACTCAGTCAGCTCTGTGAGAAACGGTCGGTGTTCTGGTCCAGACAGAGAGGAGGGACTCGAGGGAGTGTTTGAACAGTAGCACTGGGGAGCTGCCTGAGGCTGTTAAAAAGTTGGGGGGTTTAATAGATTTCCTATCTACAACCGTGCTACAGATCCTGCCACCGCCTGGCAGAACACGGGAGACAGAGCAAAGCGAAGACTTAGGGCGTGGGAGCCCGGGACCAGATGTCAGCTGGGTTTCGCTGCTCGCTCCCCGTGTGACCCCGGACCAACCTTTGCCCTTGCTTGCCTCTGTGTCCCACCTGTACCAGGAGACAGCTACTCAATTCCGTGAAGCTCTCCGAGATTTCTGGGTGATAAATTGGCATTGCAGGGGAGGGAAGAGAGGTAGAATTTATTTTTATTTTCAAGATCAGCTAACAGAGTTAGTGTTACAGCAGAACCAGGCTGTTGTATGGACACACTTTGTCAACCCTGACATCATCTTCTCTTTTTTCATTGTATTTCCCCGCTGCAGCCTCATGCCCCAGGAAGCTCAGTGGAGCTGGGGACCGAAGAAGAGCTGCTTTCCAACGCGGGTGCTAACCCACCAGTGACCCCTCTCCTGCCCGCAAAGCCCTCGGACGTGGTCCTGGTCGAGAGGTGAGCTCCTCGTCCCCCTCCTGCCAAGGGTGGGAGCAGACCCCCCCTTCCCCCAGCCCCTCGGCAGAGCTGTGGGATGCTGCCGGGG